CAATAACGCGTTACTAGTAATGCGTTACTGTAACGGCATTACTTTTGACAGTAACTAATAGTAACTACTGTACCGCATTACTTTTTAAACATAATAACTCCGGTATGGTTACAATATGATGCATATATGTATGCTACTTGGTAAGTTAATTAATTTTGGCAGCAGTCTATCCCACATCTTCCTGTTTACAGCAGCGACGCATTGTGGGATTGGTGGATGCCAACCAATCACTGTAAAGAAGACACGTTGTGTATATGGCACCAGATTGAACAAAAGTAAAGTGATGTCTGCATCAGTGCGTCCTGGATATCAAGAAGACATACAGGAAATTTCCAAACATCCTACAGCCTAGTTTTGGAACTGAACTTTGGTGGATGTTGATGACGTTACACGAGGACTCCAAAACGCTGAAGAACGTATATTGAAAAGTGTGTGAGGTAGGCCGAATGTGGATAAAATGCTCACGAGAGATCTAGAGACTATTATCGTCATGATTATTAATTACTATTACGAATACTACTATGTTTATTGCTTCAAATAAAGACACATTTGTTATCTGTATGACAAAATGTATTAGTTTAGTAGACACAGTGACACATTTCTGCTGTATTTCATTCATTCATTTATTCAGTTTCTTGTCGGCTTTGTCCCTTTATTAATCCGGGGTTGCCACAGCGGAATAAAGATTTCTAAACATAATAGTTTTAATAACTCATTTCTAATAACTGATTTATTTTATCTTTGCCATGATGACAGGGAATAATTTTAACTAGATATTTTTCAAGACACTTCTATAAAGCTTAAAGTGACATTTAACCACTTAAACTCTGCTGCTATTTGGGGATTTCCGCCTGGATTTTGCCTACCCAAATTTAAAAGCTTCTTAAATCCACATGCAGAGGTGTAAATGCAAAAATTTGGTATCATTTTAAGGAAAACCCTTTGAGTTTTCATAAAACACTATTGAAAGTGTTTAAAATAACTGTGTATGTCGTCTGTGTTAAAATAAACACCTTCTTTTTGTATTTTTTTTTTTGTATTTTTTTATAAACTCAAATTTGAAAGTGTACCTTTTAGGTTCTGTGTGGTCTAGCGTGCTGTAATTAATTTAGGTGGCTCCTGCACATGTCTGTAATCATAGGAAAAAAGAAAAAAGGTTTCTACCATAATCTATGCAAAAGTTATTGCATTCCAACTGATGAGAGGTGCTTTACAAGCCACAGAGACCAATCCTTGTTTACATATTTCACTATTCTTTTGTTTGATCAAACATAATTCACTGTGTTTGGACCACATCAGACATATAAAAGGATTACTTATGCACATCACCTCAAAAACAGAGGAGAATGGCCATGAAGGGCACAGCATAAGGTAAAAGATGACAGCTGTCTGTGCTATCTGGGGCTGCTTATTGATCATGAATGTATTGTTTACATTTTTACACCATGGAAACACCACAATTCATTCAACAACTGTTTGGCATGTGAATATAATTCAGCAAAAAGATTTCTAGAGCTGTATGAGCACCGGCAACAGCTTTTATTTGAGCTATAACTTGTACATGTGTCATATGAAAAAATATGAAAATGAACCAATGTAAAATACCTAGCTCGGGTATCCAAAATACTGTGTATTTAAGTGTAAATAACTTTTATACAGTAGCATAAAAACCAAAGTGATGCATATGTCCATAAAATATAGATTCTACACTTTCAAACGACACCACTTACGGGGGTCTGGTGCAAGGCTAGCTCTTTAAATCTGAAAGCGAAAGTCTATGACGTCAGAGTTTAAGCGGATAACTAGGCTAATTAGGTTAAATAGGCAGGTAAGGGTAATGAGGCAAGTTATCGTATAATGATGATTTGTTCTGTAGACTATCGAAAAAAAAATGCTTAAAGGGGCTAAAAATTTTGTCCTTAAAATGATGTTTATAAATTAATTATTATTAGACATGCTTTGAAAATTTCCTTGCCCTGTTAAACAAAATTTGCAAAATATTTAAAAATGAAAATAAATCAAAGGGGGGCTAATAATTCTGGCTCAGAAAAACAATACAAATGTGTGTTGTATTAGTCAGAAAAAATGCTGTGATTTATTTCTTTTTATTAATTTACATATTTTTCTAGCTGTTATATGACAGCAGATTTTGCACTTTGAACATAGACAGATACTTTCCACAAGTTGCTGACATACCAGGTTTAATTTGTGGTTAGTTTGAAATTGCTCATCAATTTCATTTTTGAGCAGCTGTTGTGTTTTTTTTTGTTTGTTTTTTTAAATGCATAAAATGTATGGTTGTCTATAATAGCATTTTTTATTTATTTTTTTGGTGCTGAGTTTTACCAAATTGATTCTGAATGTTAATTACTTTCATTTATTTATTTCATAAAGGTTTTGTATTTGTTGTATATTGTGGCTATTTTCATACTCAAGCTGTGAAAGAATGTGTTTAAGGGTTAAAAACAAACTTTTAGGATGCTGAAGCAACTTTAGTTTTTTTTGTGTGTGTGTGTGTTTCTGAATATATTTTTCAGCTGGTTTATCACATTGTGATATGTTCATGGGAAACCCCTAGGGAACACTAGGTTGCTGTTGGAAGTGGTGTTAGAGAGGCCAGCAGGGGGCGCTCAACCTGTGGTCTGTGTGAGTCCTAATGCCCAAGTAAAAGTGAAGGGGACACTATACTGTCAGTGGGCGCAGTCTTTCGGATGAGACGTTAAACCGAGGTCCTGACTCTCTGTGGTCATTAAAAATCCCATGGCACTTCCCGTGAAAGAGCAGGGGTGTAACCCTGGTGTCCTGGCCAAAGTCCCTCTATCGGCCCTTACGATCATGGCCTCACAATCAGCCCCTTCAACCGAATTGGCTCTATCACTGTCTCTTCACTCCACCAACAGCTGGTGTGTGGTGAGCGCACTGGCGCCGTTGTCCTGTGGCTGCCGTCACACCATCCAAGTGGATACTGCACACTGCCCCCCCTCATGATTGTGAAGCACTTTGGGTGTATGGCCATACACAATAAATGCGCTATATAAATACACATTACATTACATTACATTACATTACAAGTAGTCAAAGTAATTTTTGGAAGTAACTAAAACTGTAACTAGTCGCTATTTTTCAGTAACTAGTGCAACACTCTTTTATGCATCTAGCACAAAAATATTTATTTTTAGATGTTTTAATTAGTGTGAATAAGCATACATCTGACAACATTTTTGTCAGTATGTGAAACTTCTGAAAAATGCAAAGAAATGTTTTTTTTCTATGTTTATTACGCTGCTGTCATCTAAATTCACTCCATAAAACATGAAAATGAAACCCATATGAATGTAAAATGGATTTGCAAAGTAGCAAAAAAATCATATGAAAATGTGCAGATCACCTATAAAATAACATATTGTTATAAGTTACTCCACCCGTTTCTGTCCAAGAAGTGACATTTTCTTCTCCAGAGTGAGACTAATAAGGCTTTTGGACTGGAGTTTAAATGCATGGGCGTAAGTGTGTTTAGACAGGCTCACAATGGAGCTCCCTGAAAAACAAGCTACCATGACAAATTTTACTGTGATGTTTTATGGCTGTTTTGGGTTGTTGGAGCGAAATCCACTGTAAACGATACCACGGTGTGCAGTAACACAGGCATCGCCTTACCATGTGTACGGCCTTGCAGATTTTATGATCTCCTATTTGATATTTAATAACCACCCCCTCATAGCAGTATATCGAGGTCAGCAGGGTCAATGTGCTTGCAAAACAACAATACAAAAAGAACCTCAGTAACACTTTTTTTAGATATTGATTTTTCTGTAGTCTGCTATTCAGCTGTTTGTGAATGAAAAAGGTCTGGGAAGCTTCAAAGATCAAAGTGATGAGAAATAAAGTTGCCTCCCTAAAGAAAGAAGCGAATCCTACTTTCCTGACATGGGCGATTTTATTCTTACTTCCTGCACAAATCAAAATGGTTTGTTACAAAGTTGAAAATGTCAATCTATCGTCTTTATTGGCTGGTCATAAACAGCATTTGACATCAAACACTAGTTGTATCTGAGGCCTGGAAGAGTTTGGTTTGTGTTGTCAATATGTTGAGAGTAGTTGCCATTTTCTGTCATGAAAGCAAATTTTATAAACTTCAATTTGATGAGGATTTGGGACTTAAATTGATGTAGTTTAGCTCTGCTTTTTTCTGTTTCCAAGAGCAGAGGGGAGCTAAAATTCAGATATGATAAAGAGCATTTGGTTTCCGATACACACTGTATTCAAGTGGTCAATTAATCACAGCAGACTTGTTCACCTGACTGATCAGGGGGATCTTAATAAATTGCTGTTACAACGTGAAGCCTTTTGGATATTCACTCTTGATACATTATCTCCCAGAGGTTTAAATGAGGAGTTTGATATTCATCCTTTTCTTAAAGTTTAACTAGTTGTTTGGGTAAAGTTTTGTTTGCAAGCGGCAACTTCCCACTCTCCCTTGTGAAGCAAATATGGAAGTAACTGAAACTGCAATTCATCGAAATTCCTCTAATCCTGGCTCCATAATAGATCAAATTTCTATTGACCTCACTGTTAAAATGGCCAACTTCAAAAAAAAATGTGTTCTATTTTTTGTTGTGCGGTAATGTATGAGATCATGTGATCTGGAAGTGTACAAAAAAGAGAGCAACATACTATGATGAAATCTGATGAAGAGCCGGTGTGCTCAAAACATTACACGCCTTTTATCAGCCTTTTTAATTTAATAAATTGGCATTTTTGGAGCTTTGGTGTTGTCACGGATTGGCCAGGCTCTTCCACCAATTTCACACAGCGCCCATCATCACCTGAGTTTTGCACAGCTGCACCCTATCACCTTGACACACAATAAAAGCACACACCTCACACCACTCTTTGTCCGGGCTCGTTCCTACGAAGCGGACTTATAGCGGATACTCTCCACGTTTTCGCTATCATTAATTTGCCATTTTGATACTTACCTGATCTCCGTTTGTTTCCAGTCTGTCCAGTCTTCCCCGTATCCAGTCAGAGGTGTGTGCATCGTCTTTCTGTCTTCCCTGCAAGTCATCTGGTCTGTGCATTCGGTCTTCATGCATCCTGCTAAGGATAAGGACAATAATATCATCTCGGACTTCATTCACATAACCCTTATCCTTCTGTTGCTCCGCTGTTAAAATAAACATTTATTACTACTACTCACCCTGTTTGTCCGTCTGCTTCCATAACAGGTGTTGTCGCCTTTTGAATATAAATCAATTCCATTATAACCCTTACCATTTTTTTGGAGTGCAGTGACTGCACATACATTCTGTACTGCTGTAATTGAATTTGTGACATGTTTCGTCTGTTGCAAAAAAATTGCTGCAAATCTCGTCACGTACTGTGTTGTTAGGACACAGGGTTACAATGTAATCTGCTCACCTAATGTTTACTTTTGTAAAATTGAGATTATTTGCTAATCAATAACCTCATGTGGAACTCTGAATCTGCTTCTCATTTCGGAGTCTGCTACTGTCCACCGGAGGATGCATTTTGGTTGCAGACACATGCTTAGAGCAGGGGTTTTCAAACTGTGGGGTAAATTATTTACTCGAGTAAATTATGATGACGATCTTTGTGTTCACTAGAGTAAATCTGATTAATGTTAGCTCCACATATAACTATCAGGCACCTGCAGAGTTAATGTGTTCGAGTAAAACATAAACAAATAAAATGGACTATATGCTTTTTAAAATGAATGATGGTGAATGAAAATAAAACCGGTGAATTGTCTGACAAAAAAAGAGCACTTCTGAATCAAATCAGCAGAGTGCCCTTCTGGATCTTTCACTTACTTTGAAGACACTACTGACTAAGCTTACATGGACATCTGTAATCTAGTTATTTGCCTTAATAGACAATAATATAATTAGGTTGTTTACGTGAAGTGCTTTCATGGAAGAGTTTCCTGTAGTTTTGGGTGACTTTAACTGCAGTTCAGCAGTTTCACATTCACTCATGAACTTTTCATTCATGCCCCCGTGACAAACTGGGGTATTAAACGCAAATAAGGAGTGAGAACTGCTGAAAGAGTGATATGGAATTTTACAACACACCGAATGGAGAGAGAAAAACTTCTGCATTTCGCGATGTGTGTGTCTGCGGTCCTTTACTGACAGCCACATGTGTGGATCTTGTCGGAAAATATGGCAAAAATATCTGTGACGGTAATAGTTTGATTGCTGTGTTTACTTCAATAATGCCCCTAATATATGCATACTCCAACTCTTAATTCCATTTCTGTTTAGGTTAGTTATAACTTTAGTCGGATTAAGGTAATCAAAAATTGTTGTTTACATGGTTACTCTCAATCAAAGTATTTCCTTAATTGTTTTAAAAATCTATTGTAAGTATTGGTGTCCATGTAAACATACTCAATGTTCGACTCAACTACACCATCAGGGCTCTGTGAACTTGGCTTTGTGAAGCAGCATTTTTTGTACGTACATCAAAAGCAAGTATGCTATGCCACACACTTATTGACAATGTAAGATGGAGGAGGAGGAAGAGGGTTGGGGGAGGGGATGGGATAAAATGGTTGAAAACCCCTGGCTTAGAGAGCTTTCATGACTGATTGAATAAAATACAGGTGTGTTTTCCACCAAGGCAACTCAGGGTGCTAAAATATAATTGGTTAAACTGGCATTGGGAGGGTTAAACGAACCAAAACAATAACACACGTTCTGGCACGGAACACACATTTTCAAACCAGAATATCTGACATCAGCATTGTTTTTCAGATAAACAAGAATGTTCATTTAGCATGTTTCTTAAATATCTGCAAACATATTAAGGTATTTTATGCTGTAGAAGAGTCAAAAACACATATTCAGCACCTTTAAAGGAAAGACTGGCAAGCTACAGTTTAGAGTTTGGAAAAATTTGAGAATAATCAGAGATATGCTTTAGTTACCCGAAGAGTGAATTTCTTTAGATCAAAAATAAATAACCACAAGCGTGTGATCTTATTAATGCTAAGTGCTTTCAACAGGGTAAATGAGCAGATCCAATAAATGGATAAACAAGAGAAAAGCCATTTACATTAGTCAATAGAAAAAACAAAAAAACAGTGCACATAAAAAGCTATAATAGGTTGAAATGTAATGGGTGCTTTGCCTTGTATTTTGTGACATAGCAGTTAAAATCTGAATAAAAAGAAATGAGTTGCAGGAAATGCTGATTGTTTTTCAGCTGAACCAGCATTCACATTAAAGCATTAAACTAAATAGGTACATTACTGTTGAAAAGTGCTCGCTTTTTAAGCTTTTTTAAAAAGTGTCTTCTGCTCACCAACACTGTATTTGTTCAAAAATGTTTGAATTTTATTTGATGTAATTTCAAGTTGATGGCAAAACACAATTTTCTGCATTATTACTGTAATATTACACAATATTCTACAATTTACGCATCTCTGTTACATTTAATTGAAATAGAAATGGCATTGTGTTTTTACTTTTACAAATGCATTATTTAATGCGTTTTTGCTGGCTAAAATTATTGATGACACATTTTTGCATGGTAGTATTTTGCTATTACAGCTTGCATGCCTAGACCAAATGATGCAGCCCTCTTCTGATATCAGTTTTCAAAGCAAGGAATGAGTGAAACAGATGAAATGTGCCTGATTACCGTTCGGTGCGCTCAGCATCTCTGCTTACATGACCTGTGTCAGCTGATCTTATCTGGCAGATACTTGATGCACTCAATAAGTGATATGTCAAGGAGCGGTGAGAAATCGCACCATAAGACTCTAATGGCCCTAAGGGGGGTGTAAATTTCAGCATGATGAAAACGGGGGAGTCTAAGCTTCCAGTGAGCTGCTGAGGTTGTAGTTCATAGCTTCTTTGGCCCCATTTCCAACTGGTAGTAACATGCATTTTCAGTGATCCAATCACTAGTGGATGATGCATTAGATTTTTCATCTGCTGTTAGCATGCATTCAGATGTGTCTCTTGTGACCAGTTGCATTCGTATGTTTCATCAAAAGCCTTCACTGTTATTTTATAACGCACTACATCACTTTCATGAGAGCATTCGATGTGTTGTGTGAGTACTATTGAATAAACAAAACCTCTGTCACTCTTTGAGTTTTGAATGGGGACAAATGTAAATGGCCACTCTATTGAAGGAAGCCTTGCCTTCTACACTGTAAAAAATTTCCCTGTAAAAAAACAGTAATCTACTGGCAGCTGTGGTTGCCATTATCATACTGTAAAAATATGGTGCCCTACCGTTTTTTAAATTACCAGCATGATACTGTTTTTGTTAGCAACAGTATTCTACTGTTGTGGAACTGTAAAAATACAGTGCCCTACCGTTTTAAATTAACAACATGATATAGTTTTTTTAGCCACAGTAATCTACTGTTATGGAACTGTAAAAATACAGTGCCCTGCCATTTTAAATTAACAGCATGATACTGTTTTGTAAGATACAGCATACCACTGTTATTCTAATGTAAAAATACAGTGCCCTACCTTTTTTACATTTTATCTACAGCATGCATCTGTTATTTAGAAGCATAAAGCTGTTAAATTACAATCCATATTTAACCATATTATTTCAGATTAAAATGATTCAAAAAGAGAAATAAATCCAAGTTATATTTCACATTTTTATTTTCAAACAACACAAAATGAAATCTGCATTGTGTTTGTGAAAATATTAAGCCAAAGAACAGGCAAAAATTGTAAGTTCTCCAGAAATGTTAAGATTGTATTCAGCATTGTACATCAAGAAGCAACTTACCGAATGTCATAGAAAAAATTAATAAATAGCCACTTTACAATTGAGTCTTGGATATAAAATATAAAAAATTTATAGCCCCAAAATGAGCTTCAGCAAATAAAGAAAAAAAGGCCTCTGTGTTGCAAAAGTAGGGGGGTGCAAGCTAGCTGCATTTTAAATAAAGTCCCATTCAAAGTCCATTAGTTTCTTTAAAAGGTTTGAAACCTTGGGGTTTACAGTCATGGTCTTCTTCTGAACTGTCTTGCCAGTTTTTTTTGACGTCACATTTCCTCTCACAGCCTTGGTTCCCCTCTCTGGATTTATGCCAGCAAAGCATCTGAATAATAAGAATAAAAGATTTTCTGTGAACAAGGTATTTAAAACTGTATGACTTACAAAAATAAATAAACTATCTGCAAAAGTGATTTTCTGTTCTGAAAGAAAATTTTAGTGAAAAAGCACATGCATTTTTGCAGCACTAAAATGGTTTTCCCTGAAAAAAGGTTATTATTATATGATGAAGATTAAAGACATGAAAAGGGCATTCAAATGTTAAAATGTTTGATTTTTGAACAACACCAGTGACGTGTGTGTACATAGTTTAAGTCCCTATTTGCTATTATTTATGTGCAGTTGAAGTCAGAATTATCAGCCCCTTTTTTTGAATTATTTATTTTCATTATTTTCCTAATGATGTTTAACAGAGCAAGTAAATGCTCACAGTATCTGATAATATTTTTTTTTTCAGAAAAAAGTCTTGTTTTATTTTGACTTTTACTTTTTAAATATTCATTTTAAGGTCAAAATTACTAGCCCCTTTAAGCTATATAATGTTTAGATAGTCTACAAAACAAACCATTGCTATATAATGACTTGCCTAATTACATTAATCAGCCTAGTTAACCTAATTAACCCAGTTAAGCCTTTAAATGTCACTTTAAGCTGTATAGAAGTGTCTTGAAGTATATCTCGTCAAATATTATTTACTGTCATCATGACAAAGAGAAAATAAATCAGTTATTAGAGATGAGTTATTAAAACTATTATGATTAGAAATGTGTTGAAGAAATTCTCTCCGTTAAACAGAAATAGGGGAAAAAAATAAACGGGGCAAATAATTCAGACTTCAACTGTATATAATATAATATATATATTTTTTCCCCAATTTCTGTTTAACAAAGAGAAGATTTGTTCAACATTTCTGAACATACTAGTTTTAATAACTAATTTGTAAAAACTAATAACTGATTTCTTTTATTTTTTCCATGATGACAGCAGATAATAATTGCCTATATTTTCTTAAAATACTAGTGTTTAGCTTAAGGTGACATATAAAGGCCTAACTAGGTTAATTAGGTTAATTAAAGTCATTGTATAACGATGGTTTGTTCTATAAACAATCAAAAATATGTATTGCTTTAGGGGACTAATAA